TCTTTCCTGTCAGAAGCAAGTATGTCTACAGTTATTTGAGTCTCATTACAGTTTGTTGTTTTCTTCACTTCAAAGACTGGGAGAGAGAAGACTTTAGTTTGAATTTCAGATTCTTAGGAAACCGATTTCCCCAGTCATATTCTTGGGAAAGTAAACATATGTCTACTTCTAGGAACCCTATGAGGGTAGCTCTGTCTACTGAGAATCTAATTCATATCCATGCTTCTATAATGGAGTCATTGTAAGTCATTTTCTTCAGTTATAAATTGGGGATGTCAATACTTGTTTGATTATCTAAATCACTGGCTTGCTGTAAGGACTGTTCATTAAGGGTTAGAAAATAGTGTATTCAAAACTACTTAAGATGGTATAATTTTTCAAAGGCCATGGGATAATAAAATATGAATACATAAAATACTTTTTCTTTCCAACCAGAATTGAAACTTCTAGGAGCAGGACTATCCTTTCTTTTCGGTATTCTCAGTACTTTACATGATGCTAGGCCATAAGAAGAACTTGGTACTTAACTCTACTTTAGAAATAGTGTTAGTGATAAAATTTTAAGGAGATTACAAGGAATGGAATAGGTTTAGGCAATGGTATGGCATGGATAGAATGAATTTAGTTAGACTTATTAGGGCATTTACTTCATCTTACATATAATCTTATGTCTTATTAATAGCTTTTCTTCTCTAGACTCTTTGCAGTAAAAAATTTAAAAGTTCTATATAAATATAATATTTGCTATTTGTGTTCCTAGAACTTTCCAAGCATTTCACTCTTTAGGAGAGCCAAATTGTTGAAAATGAGCTAGTAGCTGAAGCTGACTGAAGGAGAAGGTGGGAGGAGAGGTAAATGCTATATGAGTATCGAACATTTGCCTCTAGATCTAAGTAAGAGTCATAGATCATAGTAATACCACTACCATACTAGATACTAACCAGAAGCCCTCCACATACTGTTCTTAATCTTAAGTTTAAAGGTGAACCAGAAAGACTTCTGTCTGCCAAAACCATACTTCACATTTTGAGTTTCCTTGCAACCTCTCTGGCCACCCTAATGTCCAAATCTAAAATTCTTTTCTCCTACCATGTCCGTAGTATGGAAGGAAGAAAAACCTTACATAAGGATTTGGCTTCTCATAGAAAATAAGATTCTGTTTAGAATTTGTGGGAAATTATTAAGTACACAAACACATTCCATTGCTTTGATATCTTAAGCATTTGTGTTTTTTTAAATTAAATCATTTCAAGGGCTAACAATGTGACCTTGTCATGAGAATTGGCCAACATTCAAATATTAGCATTGAGGAGCTTCTAGGCTTTTTGGTTCATTTGTAACACAGTGTCAGACACAGATGGTTTATGTAGCAGAATGACCTTTCAATTTTGGGACTAAAAATGAATTTTTGAAGTGCAGCATTACTAATATCTTTGGATGGAAAAATGCACTAAAGACATACTCTACATAGTTTAAAAATTCTACATGGAAGTCCACGAGTCTAATAATAAAATCTGCATAGTAGTACTTTTCCCAAATTATCTAATTCTGCTGAAATCCTCATTATAACTCAGTGAACTCGATAGGGCAGGTGGTTTAATTATCCTTTCCCTCTCCCACCTCTTCCTTTCTATTGCGCTAAAGGGTTAACTGAGCTTAACCTAGAAAGCTACCAGAACCATCTCCAAACCTGTTTGCTGACTTTAAATTCTATTAATCAGAGTTCCTCAATTTTGGTGTTGTTTACATTTTTTGTTGGATCAGTCTTTGTAAGACGGGACTGTTCTATGGAGTGCAGCTGTGAAGCTTAAAAACATTGCTGTGTCCATCCACTAGCTGAAGGAGCAATCTCTCTGCCTAGAGTTGTAATAGCCAGAAATTTCTCTATATATTGCCAAATGTCCCCTTGCAGTAGAAGCGAACTACTTCAGATTGTCAATTACTGTAAGCTTTTCAAAATGCCAAGTTGTTGGTAAGTGATAATTAACTCCATTTCACAAGAGAAAAATCTTCACTTCATATAGGTTCTGTCACACAGGACAGTTTCTAGATATGTCTTTAGATACCAGATGGTTTGTTTCCTAGTTTGCAAGATTTTTACTCAACTGGGATAATCTCAACAAGGTTTCTTAAGGTAGAAACCTTGAATCAACTTGGTTTTTGCTCCAAGGAACCACAAACCATGATGCATAGTACTAAGTTGGAGCTATAGAGATCCATTATGAAGGTCACCAGATATTTCTGCTCCTGATTCTTCCACTCAACCCCCAGCCCCAAATCTGGCTCCAGGGTTTGCATTCAGAGGTCTGGCCCATGCTATTGTTTGGTTGACTTGCTCAGAGCTGGTGGCCCTCTACCACATGAGCTATACAGTCATACTTCTAGGCCAGGTTTTTGCTAATTCATTGGATTTGTAATCTTGTAGACTTTCCTTCCCAGGCTGATTTCAAACCAAGATCTCAAAAAAACCACTAGTGCTTGGCTTGTGTTTTCCCTTCGCAACACATAGTAGGATTATTTTTCCTGACCTTATTTAAATTGAGCAGTGCTTTGAAAAGTTCTAGCCAATGAGTTTAATAGGTTGTCATACTTTTTCTAAGACAAAATAATTAATTGTTGATGGAGTAGTTCCTGAGTTTTGTCTTCCTTTTGGTAACTTATAATGCTTGAGCTAGTGCTTGCTTTCTTATCTATGAGCTTGAGTCTCTGAACAACAGTAACAAGTTGAGTGCTGCTTTGCTATGAATACATGGTAGGAATAATCTTTGTCTGTCTGTCTGTCTGTCTGTCTTCCCCTGTCTTTTATTTTTGTAGCACGAGAAGTCTGAATTCAGTACAGTTGCTAGTTAAGTTTTCTAACACTTGAGATACATCCAAAGCTCATTTTTGCTTTGGTTATGTTTTCTAAATAGTCTCACTACCCATCCCCACCCCCTACACTAAGGCTATTCTTATACTATCTATCCTCCTTCTTCTCACCCAAGTAGGAAAGTACATTATAGATGTGGACCACCATGCTTGGCTTTTGGTAAAATTTTTCCCCCAGGACTTGATGCAGGTATGTACTACCACACCCAGTTTTTTTTTCTAATGAGATGAGTCTCCTGTTCTGTTTGGGATACACCAAAACTGTGACTTACCTTACCATAGTCTCTATGTCAGCCTCTCAAGGAGCTAGAATTACAATTAACCACTATGACCAGCTTTATATTGTTTTTGACATCTTTCTTGTGATGCAGACAGAAAGAAGAAAGGAGGAATCCATTTTAATATCTAATGGGATGAGGAAATACTTAGGAAATAAATTTGAAGAGCTTTTTTAAAGCTTTCCATTGTTATAAGAATATCAGCAAAAATGAAAATGTTTCACATGCTTATCACAAATTTCCTACCGCTATCATCATCTTTTTTTTTTTTTTTTAAAAAAAACTGGTTTTTTTTTTGGCTTTTCTTTTTTGGTACTGAGGATCGAACCCAGAACGTCATATTTGCTAGGCAAGTGTTTTGCCACTGAGCTATATCCCAGCCCAATCATCTTTCAAAAAGATCAATTCCAGGCTGGGAAGGGGGCTCAGTGGTAGAGTGCTTGCCTTGCATGCATGAGGCCCTGAGTTCGATTCCTCAGCACCACATAAGCAAAAAGAAAAAAAGCCAGAAGTGGTGCTGTGGCTCAAGTGGTAGAGCACTAGCCTTGAGCTGAAGAGCTGAGGGACAGCGCCCAGGCCCAGAGTTCAGGCCCACGACCGGAGCCCCCCTACCTTCCCCCCAAAAAAGATAATTCCTTCAGGGGAAGTGATCTTAAATTACCTTATTTATCTGATAAATATTCTGAGCACCAGCAATATGATGGTCTCACTATTGCATTTTGAGCAACAGTAGAAAACAAGATAGTCTCTGGACCTCACAGATGCTTCAGTTGAGGGCATATATATACACATATACATGGAGGGGAGGAGATAAAAAATGTAGATGTATATTACATAATTTGAAAGTGAGGTAAATACAAAAGCATATAGAGTTGAGAGATCTGACAAAGCTTCATAAAATGTCTCATAGTACATATCAGAAGGACCAAATAGAAGAAAATTACACAAATGATGTCTAAAGAAGCTTCGTGCCTTACTTCTCAGAAACAGAGAACAAATCAGTGTCCATAAGATGCAGGAGGCACAGATAAACTACAAAGATGAAGCTAATGACTACATGTTAGGAGTAGTTACTAGCACTATACTAGATCAGAAAGTATTTGCTGAGTGAAATCAAACTGTAGGTGGTCCTTCAATGTATAATGCATGGTAGCTAGGGTCATTTCTGAATACCTCTTCTGTTCACTTTATATTTAGTTTTCAAATAATGCTCAACATCCAAAGCTTTTAAAGACATGAATGCAAGCTCTTATGAGAAGCATCAGATGCTCAGTTTACTGACGCAAACATGACTGGGGAGGATGCAGGGTGAAGGACATGGAATAAGAGGACCTGTTGCTAACAGGTGCCAATTTTGTGTCTTTTGCAAGTTCAATAAAAAAGGTGCAGACTGATGACAAGTAAGATGTGAATGGCAGCTCATTCCACATTACAAAGTTAGATGCCCAAATGCTTTACATAGGACACCTAACAGATGGTAATGTATTTCAGCCATTACCAATGTGAACATGATTCAAACCAGTGACCCCAGAGGTGAGGGGTTGTACATCCAATTACAATTTCCCACTTTCCTTAAGTGTTAAGATGCCTATAGCAATATATTTTATTTACATCAAGATTCAGTGTATAAACTATATTTGATAAAATAGATGACTTCATGTTCTCAACTAAAATCAAAGAATGCTTACTTAAGTATTTTTTTAATTGAATCGGACTTTAATGCCATCGTATAATCTTTTGGTTAACAGTGCTCATCTTGATTATTCTAACAAAGAAAAACATGGAAATTAATACTTAAGTTGTAGAGCTTACATCATCTATTGAAATATAAATTAGAAAATTTGGAAGAAGTACCTGGGACATCTGTAAAAGTTTCTCCGAGGACAGAGATGTGAAAAGGAAGTTCTAAATCCTTTAGGTGCATTAATACCTTAAAAAATGTCTCTGGATCTTTGTCATGCTCCCTGGAAATAAACACACAAAATACAGCTTGTGTTACCTTAGGGTATATGTTGAAAAGAAAGTGGTTTCATTTTGCACAGTGCCAATTCTTTTCAGGGTCTTTGCTGGCGAGGGGAATCTCTGGCATTCACACAGACATCTCTCCCTATTATTCCACTATAGCAGCCACTGAGTGTTTTCACATCCTCACACGTCTTTCCTAGGATGATGCCCAGTCCCACTGAATTTTTAAAAATCTATTTTTTATTGTTATTGTAAAGGTGATATACAGAGGGGTTTCAGTTATGTACGTCAGATAGTGAGCACATATCTTATTATTTTATATTTTAAGTTTGGACTATTTTGCTAATAAATATTTGAATATGTTTTTTAATTTTTAAAAATTTTATTGTAAAGGTGGTATACATAGGGGTTACAGTTACACAAGTCAGGTATAATGAGTACATTTTCTTTTGAACAGTCTCATTTCCTCCCTCATTTTCTCCCTGTTTTTTCCCTCCTGACCCTCCTCCCACACAAGATAGATAGGTCACTGTCAACTAGTGAGTATCAATGCTGCATTTGTTCACCCTTAGTGCCACCATTTCTATGCTACTCCTTAACCTCCACAAAACAGATAAACTTACATACAAGACAGGAATATACAATGGAATTCCATGCTTCCATCAGAAAGAATGACATTGCCCCATTTGTTAGGAAATGGAAAGACTTGGAAAAAAATCATAGTAAGTGAAGTAAGCCAGACCCTAAGAAATATAGGTTCCAGGGTTTCCCTCATTTGCAATAATTAGTATACATCTAGGATAATTTTATCAGATGAGCAGAAAGGCTCAAAATGAAATGAACCCCAAGATAAGGACACAAGAGGTCTTTCTTTGTTGTTGAGGTTTTTTAATGTACTATGCAATTTTTTTTTTGTTTCCTTTGTATGTTCTTCCCCCTATGGTAGATCCCCTGTTGTCACTGTAATTGATTTTGGTACCCTGAATCTTGTATATACCTTGTCTAATTTGGGGAGAGGAAGGGGAATAACAAAACGCTGAAACAAGAACACAGGATGACCCACTGCAACAATGATACCAAGACAGTATACTGGAAATGAACTTTACAAGTTCAGGCAGTCGGGGGCAGGAGAGGAATGAGGGAGGTAGAGGAGGGAAGGGATAGTGGGAGAACAATAAGAGAAGGGGTAACAATACCCAACAAGAAATATACTCATTGCCTTACTCATGTAACTGTAACCCCTTGGTACAGCATCTTTACAATAAAATATAATTTTTTTTAAAAAGAAGGTACAGAAAACAAGAACAGCAACAAAGGAGAAAACAAACAAAAAAACCCCAAAAGCAAAATAAACCTCATTTGCCATTGAAGTTTTAAGGTTTGACATCCTTTGTTGGGGAAGGAATCTTTATTTTTTACATTTTAAGGTTAGGTTACAGAGGGTATATTCAATATTTTTCTTTCTTCCCAAACTGTCAATATTATACCTAACACAGATATTCTTAAAAGAAAAAATTCCTTCAAAGAATGATTCTTTGCTGATCATGAGAATGTGCTAAAGATGGGCCTCACTTCCACAGTCTGAATGACTTCTTCCTACATTTACTGATCTCCTTTATGCACACAAGAATATACATTCTCAGGAGTGAGATTATAGGCGCCTCTACTATTTTCTCATTCCCAGTGATTGAATAGAGCAGTGTAAATCTTAAAAGGGAAGAGACAGGTTTAAGTATAGACCTAGTCCTATTAGGCTAAGAGTGGAAGTTATTCGATATATAAAATAATAATGAAAATAATGATGATGATAGTAGATCATAGTTCTATTTAGGCTTTAAAAACATGTATTAATTTTAGTTTAGTTTGTCAGTCTTTTATGCAATGACAGAATGAGGATCTGTAGGACACTAAAATTTAAAAAAAAATCCAACTTAACAAATCACATTAAAATGGGATGAGATTTTTTTTTTACATTCTAAGGTGTGAATATTTCAGTATGTCTTGCATTTAATTACACTGTTTTAAATTATCTTATTTCAGACAGCTGTAGACCAGATGTCTTCAAAATATTTGTTCTTATTTATAATTCAGAAATATTAACTTCTTTTTATATTACAGAAAAATAGTTATATATCAGCAATTGAATTTCTCATTTACTACTAATTATGTGAAATAAATCTGTAAAATGATCAAACTGCTATATGAAGAATGAAAATTACATCATTCAGGAAATCTCATGAAAAATGACATCTGTACCCCTAAATGTGTTAATGCAAAATTCAGTCAATATTTTCAGTATCATGAATTAAAACAAATGCATCTTCTAATTAACATTTTAAATGGCATTTATAAGCTTATGAAATTGTAATATCTTATAGAATTAGAGTTCTAACACAACTTATTTTAAGCTCTATGTCTCTCAGCTTGATTTACTTCAAATAATAAAGAATGTGATGGCAAACTGTTCATTGCTTTTTAAGATGATGTGTATTGCATACATGTACCATTGGGAAGCTTCTGGATGGTTCTTGTATATACTACTATTGTGGGCAAGAACAAAGACTCAAAACAGTGTGAGAGGGAAGAATGCACCATATGCTATGTACAAACATATCAATCAAATAGCTGCCACCTTATCTGTAAAATGTTCTTCAGTCTGATTCTCTTGGAAATACTAAGATGAAAAGAATGGAAACAATATAATACATTTTAAAGAGAATAACACTATAGGGAAATCTAGCCTGTCGGTTTTGGAAATATTTCTTTTGGAGTACCAAAGTTTTGGTAATGCAACACCAAGAGACCATTTATTCTAGATATCTCCTGTTTTAGCTTTTGTGTGTGTTCTCTTCACCTCTTTCCCCCTTCTTCTATGTGTGTATTAACACAAAAGTAGATGAGGTTTAATAGGCCTATAGTTTAATGCAGCCTATAGTTCTAAAAAGATCCAATGTGTTTTAAACGCAGTAGGCTTAAGAACTCTATTTTCAGTGTTTTTACATCAGCTAAAAGAATGACAATCCTACCATATCCTTTAACTCTTTCTTATAGATGGACAAAAGCTTTCATATCCAAGTCATTTTGCATAAAACTTGAAAGAAACTTGTGTGAATCCCTATTCATTTTTGTTTAAACTGTAATATATAACTGGTTGTAAGGTGGACCTCTAGTAACATTAGGAATTCTCTATTACTTTATTTTGTAAAAAGTACTCTTTGGGGAAGATGTTTTAGCCTAAAGTATTGTTACAGAATGCGTGATTTGTATAGTTTTAACAGCCCTCCATTTGTAGAGGATGGTAAAAATGGAAGGAAAGTAATTAAATACTGAGATAGTAATTATTTTGGGAGCCATTCAAAGAATTGGATCCTGTTGAAAATACATGTTTTAAAGACCTCTTAAAAAGGCAACCAAAGCTGGGCTCTGATACATTATACCTATAATCCTAGAGAGGCAGGAAGTTGAGATATCTAAGGATCATAGATTAAAGCCAGCCTGGGCAGGAAAGTCTCTGATAATCTTATCTTCAATCAACAACCAAAATGCCATAAGTGGAGCAATGACTCAAGTGACAGTGTTAGTCTTTGGCATAAAAGCTACTAGAGAACATCCAGACCCCAAGTTCAAGCTCTAGGAGTGACACACACAAACAGTAAGGCACTGGAGCAAGTGGTTACTAGAGATTATGACTAGTAAGTAGGTTTCCATAACAGGGGAAACAATTTCTAGTGATTACATCAGGCAGTTTCACAAAGCCCTGTTCTTAGATAACAGGTAGGGAAGAGGATAGGTATCTACAAAAGTGGCAGCATGCTGGTACTAGAAATACAGGTGAAAGGAGTTGAACCAAAACTGCTTCTTGAAGTATAAGAGTGGCAAAAGAATAATTCTAAAATATTTCTCATAGTTTGTGTTTAAAGTGCTACTTAAGAAGTTATGGGTTAAGAGAGATGGACGACAATGTTGTCAGACACTTTGTATTCATATACTGTTTGTAGAATGGCAACTCCTTTGTATAACTACCCAAAGATAATAAAAATGTTTAAAAAAATAAAGTGCTATTTATATCCAAGTTGGAAGATTATATGTAAATATACACTCAACTATTTCATCTATGTTGCTCAAATTTAGCTAAAACTTTTTGAGTTTACATTTTGAAAAACTAGAAATTGCCCAGCATTAAGCAATTTGTGGCACAAATAGCAGCCATTAGCCATAATAAAACATGATGATATTCAAATTCTTGTCAAAACAAGTAACTTATTCTCCATATCCAGTTTAGCCTAGTCGCCATGATATATCAACGTAAACCTATTTGCAATAGAACATGGGAGCCAGGTATGGTGGTTTATACCTATAATTCTAGCTACTTGGGAAGCTAAGATCTGGAAGATCACAATTTGAGATCAGCCTAAAGAAAAATAACCAGGAGATCCCATCTCAGCCAATAAAAACCTGGAAATGGATAGATGCTGTTAGATCATGCCTGTAATCTTTGCTACTCAAGAGGCTGATATCTGGAGGACAGCAGTTCAAAGGCATGCATAAAAATCTGAAAAGTAACTAGCAAAAAGATAGGGCTCAATTAATTGGTAGAGTGTCAGTCAAGCAAGTAAGACAAGCCAAGACCTTGAGTTTAAACTGTGGTACCACTCCTACCACCAAAATAAAAGTTGGGTGTAGTAGCATGTATGTAGTAGTCATCCCAGGAATGCAGAAAGTGTAAATATGAGGGTGGAAATCCAGGCCAACTAAGGGAAAAAGGGAGACCCTATAGGAGAAATAATGAAAGTCAAAAGGGCATGACTCCAACGGTAGAGAGTCTAACTAGCAAGTGCAAGAAATTGAGGTCAAATTCTAGTATTACCCCTAGTCCTGCATATAATAATAAAATGTAAATTGATCTTGATTGTTTTTACAGAAATGTAATGTGAATCTTTTGTATATTTGATTGTGTACCCGTATAAGAGGATTTACAACTTCGGTGGGACAACTTCGG